AAAAAAAAAAAAAACAAATCGTAAAGAGGTACTCAAAAACAGGATGGGATCATCCTGCTCTGATACCATAAAGGAAAATCAGATCAAACGTTGAAAAGAGAGAAATCGAGACAAAGAATTTCATTCTCATAAAATTCTATGTTTTGAATATTACTGCGCAGCTCACATTTTCATGGTTTCACATAATGAGTACAAAGGTCACATATGTGATTTATATATCTCTTACTCTAAGTTAATCTCAGCCACACAAATAAACCCTAATGAGATAAGATTTCAAATGTCCTTGTGACAGCTCATTACTTTCATCCTTCATCAGGTAAATATCTTTCTTCACTTTTCTTTTGCATGGTCCCATTCCACGTGTGCATGAATGATGTGGAATTATTTGCTGAAGTGGAGAGACTATCACAACCCTTAATCCGACTTTTATGGGTAGGGGAGCATTATAGGATAAAATTGTGTTATAATTTAGTAGTTTTAAGATAATTTTATTGCCTTTGTTGTTGGCATTTCGAAAATACATTTGACACTTCGTATTGCTGATATAAACACAAACAATATTAATAACAAACACTATAATTTTATTGCCTTTGTTGTTGCCACTTAGGAAATACACTTGAAACTTCGTTATGCAAATAGCAACGGACTGATTAATTTAAAGCTGGATTCACAAAAACATAATTACGGAATGTGGGGTTGATTAATTAATTCGTAGCTGGGATCAACTTAAATATAATTAGAGAATATAGGTGGTAGATTAAAATTTGTAGCTGGAATCAACTTAAACATAATTACGGGGGTTAAACTTTTAGCTGGGATCAACTTAAATATTTAATCACATGTCTTGTGTTTTGTTTGTAGTTTTTGAGGGCATGTGATAACCGAGCTAGTTCGTTCTTAAAGGAAGGTTGTTCGGAACTTTGTTCACTACCTAGTCGTCAAAGTCACATAACAAAAAACAAGGTGCTAAACATTCTACGTCGCGTGAAGGGATTGGATTGCAAAAAATTACGCTAACCAAATGAAAGCAAATGATGCAAAATGCAAATAGAGAGAGAAAGATCGAAACTTTGGTTTACCGGAATCTCCATGACTCAAGAAAAAGAAAAATAAACAAGAAAAAACATGCGAGCAAACTGATCCTAGGTATTCTAACACGAGCTTTCTACGGTAAATCATCACGCTTTGAGCAAAGCCGAGACCTTTCTAGATAAGCACGTATTGAATCCTAATACACTTTAACAAGCAATTAAAATAAAGTAAAAACCTAGAACCGAGCATCAACACAATATTCGAAAAACAAACTCGAAATAGTAAGTCCTAAGCTAGCTACTTACTCTCCTCTCGCATGCAAAGACGAAAATAGTGCGTAAAACTCGAATCTTGATCGAAAATAAGCTTGCCGAAATTTCACCGGAAAAATCGGGTCATGAACCTTCAAACCAAAGCATAAAAAGACAAAAATAGAAAATAGAGAGGATTTCACAACTTAAAAGTTGGAAAATGAGGGGGTTGTCTAAAAAATATAAAGCACAATGTATATTTATAACTACACCCCAAACACATAGAAACACACACATCTACTAAAATCATGCAGTTCACGGGTCTCGAAATCGGTTTCGCAGAGAGTGTGACATCCTTTGGTGCTGGCAGGGTGCTTTCGCAGCTTGCGAAATCAGTTTCTAGAGAGTGTGGGAGTGGAGTAGTGCAGACATGGCGCTTTTGCGGGTAGCCAATGTGGATTCGCAGCGAGTGTCATCTTGGAGGTGTGAGGCACGGCGTTTGGCGGGGCGCGACATTTTGATGCTGACATTTTGTCCAAGCGATATAAGTTAGATTTGATATTTTTACATTATCACTCGCTTGGTATTAGATTTGATGCTGACATTTTGTCCATATTGAAATAATAAAATTAAGGTAAACCAATATGATAGGTACATGAAATTAATATGGATATTCATGTCAAAACCTTAATTATAATGTATTTATGTTATAATTATATTTATACAATGGTTTCAAATGAGAATGAGGTATAATAAAACAAATAAAAATAAGTGTGGACCATTAAATCCATTATGTCAATAACCGTGATAAAATCAAACTTTAGTAGATAGATGACAGTAAAAAATATGGTGTCAATCTTATAAATAAATGTACATATTCAGGTCAAATATATAAATGTGTCCACTTAAGAGTAATCTGATCATTTCACATAGTGCCCAATCACCCATTTATTTTAGAATATCTTTATTCCCAACTCAAAACCCAACTTAATAATTAAAAATTATTTATCTCTCCTCCACATAAACAACTCAATCTTCCAACTTAATTTATCTTTATCTCGAACCCAATTCAACCTAAATATTTATTTTATTTTAATTTATTTAAAAATTACAATTGTGTTCTAAAATATATCAAATGTGGTCTTTATTTGTAGATTATGAAAAAATATGATTTTTGGTATTTTTTTATTTTTTTAAAAACTAAAAAA